TCAAAGAGGCCTACGTCAATCAGTTGCATCAAGGCTGCATTCCTTTGATTAAAAATACAGTAAAAAGAGTAATATTGTGAAATATGATTACAATTTAAAATATCTGTTTTCTAGGTGAATATATGTTAAAATGTAATTTATTCCTGTGATGTAAAGCTGAATTTTCAGCATCATTACCCCAGTCTTCAGTGTCATGTGATCCTTCAGAAATCAGTATAATATGCTGATTTGCTGCTCAACATTTCTTTTTATTATTATCAGTGCTGAAAACGGTTGTGCTGCTTATTTTTTTCTGGAGACAAAAAGAGCAGCATTTTTTTTAACATTGTCCATTTCTTTACTGTTGTGTTTGAGCACTTTAATGCATTCATGTTGAATAAAAGATCAAAAAGTCATATTGACCCCAAACATTTAAACGGTAGTGCACATATTAGGAGTTCTGCAGTGATGTAACATGTTCGTTTTAAAAGTAACATTCTCTCCCATGCTGTGTAATACTTGTCACCTGGAACATTTCTTTTTATTATTATCAGTGCTGAAAACGGTTGTGCTGCTTAATTTTTTTCTGGAAACAAAAAGAGCAGCATTTTTTTTAACATTGTCCATTTCTTTACTGTTGTGTTTGAGCACTTTAATGCATTCATGTTGAATAAAAGATCAAAAAGTCATATTGACCCCAAACATTTAAACGGTAGTGCACATATTAGGAGTTCTGCAGTGATGTAACATGTTCGTTTTAAAAGTAACATTCTCTCCCACGCTGTGTAATACTTGTCACCTGAACTGAAACATTAGCATAGCCAAAGATGTATGAATGTCTTTTCACAGTTTCATACATACAATACATAGTGATTGCCCCTTCCACAGCTATGTTCTCAGTTTCCCAGTCCTCCTCTCTTAACAGATCTGAGTCAGTGTGAGTAGGCCATGATCTGTGCAGCAGCAGTTTCGAGCAAAGAAGTGCTGACTCTGAGATGTGCTGCACTGATTACAGACTGACTGAAGTACTCACACTTCAAAGACGAGTGCTTGGCTTTCACTCGGCTCTCATTGTCTTAGCCTTTGATGCTCAGCTGTAGCTGTGATTAATATATCCTCACTGATGTAGTGCAGAGGCACAGAGTTCATGAAGTATATGGACATATGGACACGTCGCTGCACTGACCTTACATAATTCACTTTGGGAGCTGGACATTTAGGATATCCAACAACATTGTGAATTTTGCAAGATATTAAGGCTCATTATTTAGGCTAAGATATTATGGCAGGATAGCTTTAAAACTAAATGATGTACACAACATTTGTGAAAATGGCAATATATTTGAGAAGTTAAATTAATTTCTTCAAGTGTTTCTTTTTCTCTCTTTTTTTTTCTCCATTTATGTCACAGATGGAGTTTTGGTTCCTTGCCACTGTCGCCTTTGGCTTGTTTAGTTGGGGACACTTGATTTCTTTCAATATTGTTGACTTGATTGCACAGACACTATTTGAACTGAACTGAGCTGGACGACGACGTCACTGAATCAATGATGAACTGACATTAACTGGAAACATTGAGTATTTTCTATTGTCCTCTTGCATTATCGACACTCTGTTTTCCTGTTTAATACTGTAAAGCTGCTTTGACAATCTGAATTGTATAAAGTGCTATATAAGTAAAGAAAAAAAGTCAGTTCTTCTTTAACTGTATATTTCAAATAAATTAGTTCAAAACACAGATTCAGCGATTCATGAGCATCAAGTGTTTATAGAAGTGTTTATAGAAAAGAGGCGTGTTACACTTTAAAATGTGTTTGTAAAAATATTTTAAAAGTAGTAAAATACAGCTGTTTATTACTGTATATAGCTTGTGTTCATTCAGTGAAAATCTAAAATCAAAATCAACATTGGACGACGACGTCACTGAATCAATGATGAACTGACATTAACTGGAAACATTGAGTATTTTCTATTGTCCTCTTGCATTATCGACACTCTGTTTTCCTGTTTAATACTGTAAAGCTGCTTTGACAATCTGAATTGTATAAAGTGCTATATAAATAAAGAAAAAAAGTCAGTTCTTCTTTAACTGTATATTTCAAATAAATTAGTTCAAAACACAGATTCAGCGATTCATGAGCATCAAGTGTTTATAGAAGTGTTTATAGAAAAGAGGCGTGTTACACTTTAAAATGTGTTTGTAAAAATATTTTAAAAGTAGTAAAATACAGCTGTTTATTACTGTATATAGCTTGTGTTCATTCAGTGAAAATCTAAAATCAAAATCAACATTTTTACAGAATTCCAGTTAAGCCATTCAATTGTTATATATACAGTATATATAACAATTGAATGGATTAACTGGAATTCTGTAAAAATGTTGATTTTGATTTTAGATTTTCACTGAATGAACACAAGCTATATACAGTAATAAACAGCTGTATTTTACTACTTTTAAAATATTTTTACAAACACATTTTAAAGTGTAACACGCCTCTTTTCTATAAACACTTCTATAAACACTTGATGCTCATGAATCGCTGTGCATACTTGCTATAGATTCCAATACATATATAAAGACACACATGGGGAAAAAGAACTAAAAATCTGCTAATGAAATATTATTTGAGCTCTTCTTCACATGTACAGTAAGTAAACTTATTTTTAAACAATTATTATGCCATTATTATGAACAGCTGTGTGCCATTTTAAAATAGAACCAAATACTTCAACAAAGAGTTCATAAGTTCATAATCTTTCAATTCACAACTCATGTGTCACAGGTAAAGCATCTGAATGAAAGCAGGGCTCCCACACACTCAACGCTGAGAGAGACAGTAAAAATATCCCTCTCTCTGAGACAACTACACTGCCAGCATGCGTGTGTGTGTGTGTGTGGGCAGCGTGAGTGAGTGAGTGAATGTGTGTGGGTGGCAGGGTGTTTAGGGAGAGTACAAAGCAGTGGGTTGTACGCCCTGTGTTTGAGTCTGAAGGCCAGCGTGTAAACGTGTGTGTGAACAGACGCCGGCGTGCCAGCTGGCAGCTCAGGACGCCGGGCCCTACGTGCCCATTTGCCACCTCCGCTTGGCTTGACCCGTGGCCTGTGAAACCCCTGGCACCGAGACGGCCATTGAGAAGGATACAGGACGCAGAGGAGGCGTGGGGATTCCCCACCAACACACATAACCCAGCATTTTTTAGAGTGTATCCAATAAAAAATAAATCAAAGACAAACAAACTTAAATAACTGATTGGTTCCTCTAACCGAGCCAATCACAAGGAAACAGAAAGATATTATTTATATCATGTCCACTCAAAGTTTAGCCAGAACCAAAGGACTTTTATGACTTTCTTTCCCTGCACAGTGAAGGTACTAAAGTACTAAAAGTAAAAATCCGACAAAGAGAAAAGCTGTAACTGCAACACTGTCTCCTAACCACAATTGACTCAAAGGAACACTCAATAAAAGTAATCTTTTACATGTAAATCTATGTTTTGCAAAAACAACAAGCAACAGGAATTTTTGTCGATAGCTTAGTTTCTATTTCTGCTTTTCTATTTAAATTTTTTTTTAACTCAATTCAGACTTTTTTACAGTTTTTTTTCTCTCTCTCAGAATTGCAAGAAGAAAATGTCAGAATTGTAAGATGTTTTTTCTTGCAATTCACAATTCTTTGTTCCCTCGGAATTCTATATCCAGATATATTCAGAGTTTATATCTCACAATTCTGAGATAGGTCAAAAGTCAGAATTGCGAGGAAAAAAAAAGCAGATTTGTGATATATAAACTAGCAATTCTGAGAAGAAAAGTCCGAATTTTGAGATAAAAAGTCGCAATTATTTATTTATTAATTATCCTGTGGCAGAAACAAACTTCCATTAAAAAAATAGCTTATACACATCACTGAATAGTTGTGGTGGTAGAAGTGGAAGGGCAGGTGTATGATGCTGGATACACACTGAAACACAGTTCCTAAAGCAGACACACCAAATGCATTTACATTTCCCTGATTAAATTGACTCACTTAAGTCCGATAAGCTTTGGAAACGGTCTTGGCTCTCCAAGATCAAACACTTCCTATAATTCATAAGGCCATCTGTACAGGAAGCCACATAGGCAGCTGAAACCTACAGAACATTTCAATAGGTACAGAGACCAGTGGAAAAGCATAATTAGTAATAAAGCAAACTGGTTCAAGTAGTGGCTGGTACAAGTACAGAATGTGACAAATGGTGTAATTTTGACAAATGTGACTTACTGTAATGTTGCTGTTTTTGTAGCGAGATGATCAGGACATGCTCATCATGTACCATACAACAAGAGAAGAATCATTTGATTATGCCAGTCATGAAAGCAGGTCACAGTCTCTGTAAGTGTGTGAATTGCATTTTTTTTTGTGAAAAGCAGTATGATATAATAACAATAGACTGTGATGTGCTGAAATGTAACGGGTATGAATATATTAGTGTGTGTATTTAGTCTCCAGTATTATTGGCACTTTTCAATTCACCTCTTTTAATGCGATCAATCATTCAAATATAAATGTTAAATTACAGAGCAATTACATAAAATATAAATTAGAGGCAAACGTCAATGTCTTGCGCTGTGGTACTTGTCATGTCGAGTTAATTACAAGTTATGCTGAATGGCAAGACCGATATTTTCAGGAAAATCAAAAATAGTGTTTGCATATGTGAGTGTGTGTGTTATAGACGTGCATTTCAAGTTATGTGAGATGCATTGAAGGGATAGTTCACCCAAAAATCTAAACCCATGTGAACTTTTTTTCTTCTGAACATAAAAGCAGAAATTTAGCACAATGTTCATGCTGCTACTTTCCATAATATGAAATCATCCGGCTGTCAAGTTCCAAAAAAAAAGCACCATAAAATTCGGCCATCATTTTTGTGTATTACTATATAAAGGAAGGTTTGGAATGACTTGAGGGTGAGTAAATGACCCCATAATGACCCCATAAAATCCATAACCCCAGTGTGTTGTGGGTTGTGTGTGTGATTACCCAGTGAGCTCTTCTCCTGTGGGCTGAGGGACAAGCTCTGGCCTTCAGGCTGCTCAAATACAAGGAACTGGTAGCGGTGGAGTCCAGTGCCTTGGGGTGGAGTGGGGCGGGTGTATGCTAAAGACAAAAAAACAAGAACAAGTCTGTTTTAGAGCTCCTAATGAGTGTTCATTTAAATATCACCTACTGGAATCTATTTTCAAATGTTTTATGTCAGAAGAATAGGCGGAAGCAAATGTGAGAGCAGTGCTTCTCCACCACATGCTACAGTAGGGTGTTTTTTGGGTGGTTACTATAGACAGAAATTCTGATCAAAACACATTTGATCAACCTATAGGGGATACTGTCGCCACTGTTTTAATTACAAATAATGTTTACTTTGATCAGTGTATTATTGTTGGATGATTGATTTCTGCTAAACTCTTCCCTGAGTGGTGTGTAAACACAAAACAAACTGTGGTTGGTCGCTGTACATGTCAGTCAGATGATCTCATCTTGTCCGAGTGGGCGGTTCTTGGCCAGAATGAGCTGCAATGTGGATCTGACTTTTTGCCATTTAGTCAAAGGTCTGGCTACACAATACTTAAAAGATCCTGAGTTTAACATTTAGGATTAGAGGTTAGTTTCACTTCAAATATGCATGCAAAAGAAAGAAACACTCACCGGATAGTTCAACACCGCTGACGTCTCCCCTCTCTCCAGTGCTTCCCGCTGCAGAAAGACACAGGAGAGAAACCGAGTCTCAAAGACACTGCTGCACATGCACCATTGTCTCCTGTTCAACGCTTCTGAATGAAAACAACGAGAGCCCGGGGACGTGTTATGATTTTCTCCTTCATTCATCACCGAGGGCCACACAGCTTAACTGCGGCTCAGACCCTCCAGGAGCCTCACCTCACCCGGCTTAAAGGTGTCGATGACGGGATCCGCCGTACTTAATATCCTCAGACAAAGCCAATTCCCAGGCAAATTAAGTGAGTGATTGGATTTCAAAATAGCAAATTCCCATATTATTAATTGTATATTACGCGTCCGTTGCCTAGGAACATAGATTCACACTGAGCTTTCTATGAGTTGAGTTTTTTTCCTCCCCCAAAGGGCACTCCTATATTTGTCGTGTTTAAACCCATATCCTCAAGCAGATTTAATGCTGCACAGTTTGTAGCCCACTGGAATGTCTAATGGATCTGATTCCTCTGTGCCGAGGCTGCAGATTACTGTAGTTTAGTGAAAGCGACGTGACATGTGGCCAAGTATGGTGACCCATACTCGGAATTAGTGCTCTGCATTCATCCCATCCAAAGTGCGCACACACAGCAGTGAACACACCATGAACACCCACCCGGAGCAGTGGGCAGCCATTTTTGTTGCAGCGCCCACTTGGGGGTTGGGTGCCTCAGTCGTGGTATCGAAGGTGGGAGAGAGTGCTGTACATTCACTCCCCCCACCTACAATCCCTTGCCGGTACGAGACTCGAACCCGCAACCTTTGGGTTACGAGTCTGAATCTCTAACCATTAGGTCACGACTTCCCAGACTTAGCAGTTTAGACTGCTTTGCTTCATACAGTAGCCTTGTGAGATAAAAGACAAAATAACATAAAGAAGCATAATAAAATACACTGAGATTGTACTCAAAACATATTTCCAATGGGAAGCCCCCGCTGATAAATACCTAGCATGGTTTGTCAGAGTGTCAGCAGTCTGTTGTTGTCAATCAAGCAGACCCTGCCATTGAAACGCACCACTCTATATCGCCCCCTACAGGATGGACTGCATGAACAACGAGAGGTGGATCAGGGATGCATGAAATTGGGTGTAACACTGTACTTGTACTGCTGTCAATTGTTTGTAGGTAATTCACATCATAATTCATTAATGTGGGCCTATTTCTTAAACATTATGAAATTTTATTTACTACATTATAAAAAAAAAACGTTGAAGTGCTTCAGGAATTTGTCTCTTGTGAATAACGCACAGTAAAAAAAAATTGTCAAAAGTTATACCTATGTATTTAAAACTCTATTTAACCAAGTTGGGCTCATTAATATTTAATGTCAATGCATTTTACTTCTGTATTTTGATGTATTTACATGCGAAAAATGAGAAAAAAAGTAGGATGTGCTAGATTTTATCAACTGATTGGATGGTAAAGTGATGTCTAGGTAAGTCAAGGTTTAATACTGAAACAATCTGGTCTTTTCATAAGCAGAGTAAGTTATTATAGTTTGATCAAAAGATTATGAACACTTCTTTTTCTTTTGGAATAACATGCACTGATGATTCATGCACAGTAAGACCAGACCTGTGTATTAATAAAGTAAACAGCATTTATTTTTACATTGTTGACTTTAAATATTTTTTACAAGAAAAACCTGGCCAAGAAAAGCAGTAAATAGATGAATACAACATAAAAGTACTTATATAAATATATAAAATGACGTCACATAATTACAGAGTCCACAAATGAACCAAGAGCAATTACATCTTGAGCTTTAAGGATAAGCATGACAGATGTAGTCCATGCAAACCAGGGTTATTACAGTTAACTAAAAATAAAACCATTAAAAATGTGTCTCTAGAAATAAAATAATGTTAACTGAAAATAAAGTACAAACACACTTTTTTTTATTTCTCATTTTAATTTAGATTAACGTCTGTACAAAAATAAAACAAACTAAAATAAAAATGTATAAACTATACAATAAAAATAATACTAAGTAAATAGAAAAGATAAAAATAAAATATAAAGATAAAAATGTAAGAAATAAAAATAACAAAAACAAACGAACTTTAAAATTAAAATATAAAAATAATAAAATAATACTATATAATAATAATATCAATGATACTGAAATAACACTGACACACACACACTTATACTACAGTACATCTAACTACATCTCAACATAAATATGAGTTGTTTAAATATATGCATCTAGTTATGAATGCAAATGAAGGTCACTATGCAGCATGTGTAAGGTGACATGCTTCATAATGACCTTCAGGAAATGAGACACGAAAACACTGTCAAAGACAATGAACTTCACAAAGCCACTTTGCTTCATTTGCAACAATTAGATTCAAAGTAAGAAACGGCTTTATTTAGAAATCCCGAAGAGTTGCGTTGCCCGCGTGTTCTTGAGCTCCGTCGTCATGGCAACAGGCCGTCAACAGTGCTGGGAGGATGAAGCGCTCGTTTTGCTTTCCCACTTGATCTGCTTGAAATATTCTCACTCGCCCCGTTACAGAAAATTAACGCTCTTTGTGCTGATATATTTTGGGGAGAGTGATATTCACACTTTGCAACAAGCTAAGAAATATTAAACATCAGTGAACTGATGGGCATATTGTGCACAGATGGCAACATACTACATTACTAGCGCGAAGAGCCATTTTAGGATGCCGAACGTCATTAAAAACCTGTTGCATTGTACCGCTCGAAGAGCATTACAATCTCTGGGGACATTTGAGATTGGAGATTTTGGGCACCCAAAATGTGCTTGACCCGCTTGAGCCTCAAACCAGTGCAGTGGGAGTGAAAAGACATTTACACCTGGAGGACCAGCATTCACTGGGAGACATAATGTTGGAGGAACTGCAAATGCTGACAGTTTGAGTGAATGTAGTCAAGCTTTATTGAGGAATTCAGATCAACTCTACTGTCAATTTTCATCAAATGTTGACAGATGGGCACTTTTGTTCAACAAATTATGACAAACTTGAATGCTCCAAGGACTACAGTAGTCAACATTTGAAGTGGATTGAAACCTTTCATCAAAGTTGTCCTAAAACCTAAAACCAAAATGCGTTCTTGTATTAGGACAACTTTAATGAACTTTTTTGATCCACTTCAAATGTTGACTACTGTAGACGGTAGGGCTGCACGATAAATCGAAATGGAATCGAGATCACGATTCGACAGAAGCTGCGATTGTCATGCGTATCTTTCAGTGAAGCGCGGTTCTGCGATCAGCAGTAAATCTTCGACAGAAGCTGCGATTGTCATGCGTATCTTTCAGTGAAGTACGGTTCTGTGATCAGCAGTAAATCTTCGACAGAAGCTGCGATTGTCATGCGTATCTTTCAGTGAAGCGCGGTTCTGTGAT